AGGAATTCTAACACCCATCATCCCATTTAGTTTTTAAAACAACTCTGTGAAGATAGATGCAATAAATACTAGGACTATCTTTCCAGTATTTAGCACCCAACTCAAACCAGCATTTTGTAAGAGATTACCCTCACACTCAGAGCTAGGGTATATTACCACAATCAGAGTAACTCCAACGCCCTTGCCACACTAACTTAGGCCTAAACCAATCAGTGATCATGAGTAAATTCAGTGCTGATACAAGCAACACAGAAATTGGGGCTTTTGTTGGAAATCCTGGAGTAGTCTCCTGAATGAAATGATAGGACAAAGGAGATCTAGATGTACTATATCTAGAATTTCAAAATAAGAGAATAAAGCCTGAGGACTCAGTTGAATGCCAGAACTCAGTTTTGAAAATCAAACAGTCTAATTTCAGAACCAAGAGGCACAAACACCCCCCACTCTGTACTGCACCCTCCACTACATAATGCTTCCCAAAGTTATATATAAACACTGCTAAGACAAGAATCTGAACACATGTCCAACATATCATCTACAACTTTACAGAAGGATGATATGTCAAGCTGAGGAGTTTAGACTCTGTTAAGAATTTGACTTTTTTTTTTTTTCAAGTATGAAGTGTTTGGTAAAGATCAATTTAAAGGTTGTTAAAACAGATTAAGAATCCCGCCTACAGCCAGGCAGTGGTGCATGCCCGTAATCCCAGGTACATGGGACTCTGAGGTAAAAGGATGGCCAGCTTTAGCAATTTAGCAAGGAGTGACTGTCTCAAAATAAAAATTTAAAAAGGGCTGGGGATGTGGCTCAGTAGAATAGCACACCCCTGGGGTTCAATTCTCAGACCCACACATGCACACACACACAGAGACAAAAAAAACACACATAAAAATTCTCTCCTACAGACACTAAGAACAGATATTTCTAAAGAATATAACAAAAATACAGAATTTGTTTTTGAACAAAACATGAATTTCAAAAAAAAATTTTAAACAATCCTTTTCATACATACTGCACTTATTACATTTACACAATCATTTCCATTGGAAAGCAACCTAACAGAAAAAGCATAGCTTCTCCTAGAAAGCACCTTCTTTGCCAAACTATTTAAATGACAAATAAATTACTATTTCAATTCTATAAGAAATTGAAAAAACATCCTCCCTATGATATCTTTCAAATTCATTTCTCTCTCCAGAAGCTTAGGTAAGACAAGTCCATAGATATCCGTGAGGTAAGAGTTCTAAGAGTGAAGAAAGGTGTGGGGACTGGGGATATAGCTCAGTTGGCAGAGTGCTTGCCTTGCATGCACAAGGCCCTGGGTTCAATCTCCAGCACCACCAAAAAAAAAAAAAAAGAAAGGTGTGGTCCTCGGACATCTTTTCTAATGGAATAACCATGAAAGGATATATTGAAATGTCCCTGTGTGACTTCTTTATCAAAACTATCTCCCTCCTAGAATCCGACTAGGGCTTATCACCAATGGGTCTCATATACCGATTACTGCAGGAAATGCCTTTTTTAAAAAACAAATTTTTGTAGTTGTAGATGAACAGCATGACTTTGTTTTGTTTATTTTTACGTGATGCGAAGACTTGAACCCAGTGCCTCAAACATGTTAGGCAAGTGCTCTGCCACTGAGCTATAGCCCCAGCCCCCAGGAAGTGCCTCTTAAGAGACTGAGTTAAGTTGGTTGTCAATGTCTTAACTGTGCCCATACCTGATTTAATAACTTAACCTGACTAGAACAAAACAAACAAAAATGAAAGAAAACCATGGTAACCTGGAATAAAAAGTAAATTTTAGTCTATTCAAAAACCTGGGTTAGCCTGTAATTCTAGAGGCTTGGGAGAATGAGGCAGGAGGGTTGCAAGTTCAAAGCCAGCTCCAGCAACTTAGCAAAGCATTAAGCAACTTGGTGAGACCCTGTCTCAAAAAAAAAAAAAAAAAAAACCGGGGGGGGGGGGGGGGGGGGGGGGGGGGGGGGGGCGGCTGTGGCAGTGGTTAAGTATCACAAACAAAATAAAACAAAAGGGGCTGGAGCTGGAGTTCAGTGGCAAAGCACTTGCCTAGCACGTGTGAGGCGCTAGGTTCCATCCTTGGCACCACATAAAAATAAACAAAGGTATACTGTCCATCTACAACTACAAAAAAAAAAAAAATTAAAACAACCCCCCCCCAAAAGCAAACAAACAAAAAAACCTGGATTACTTTCAAAGATGCTGAACATAACCATAGGTAAATGTAAATTAAAGCCACAGGAAAATACCACTATAGCCCCTCTAATGGCTATAATCAAGACTCAAAAATGGTTAAAATAGTAAATGTTATATTACATGTTTCTTACCACAATAAAAATTTTATTTAATCTTTTTAAAAGACTAATAAAATACTGGAGAGACTATGGAGCAACTGTAAGTTTTATACACCGGGAATATAAAATAGAACAACTATTGTGGAAGAGTTTGATAATTTTTTTAAAAAGTCAGACACAATACCTAGTATATGATCCTGAAATCTTATTCCTAGCTATCTGCCCAAAAGAAATGAGAATATATATTTCCAAAGAAATATTTGTACACAAATATTCACAGAATTGATAATAGACCAAATATGAAAACAAATATGCTCCAACAAATGAATGCACAAACAACTTTGGATATATTAACACAATTAAATACAGTGGAATACCATTCAACAATAAAAGGGGTGGGTGGACCCACTAATAAATGCAACAATGTGGAGAAACCTCAAAATCATCATTTTGGAGGGGAAATAAATCAGACACATAACAGTAGATTATACTCATATATAATTCTAGGAAAGACAAAACTAATAACAGAAAGCAGATAAGTTATTAATCTGGGTGAATAAGGATTAAAGCCTGACTGAAAAGAAAGATGAGGCCCTATGTATAAACGTGGCTGTACAACCAATGTGATCCTGCAATCTGTACACATGGGAAAAATAAGATTACGTACCCCATTTGAATCAAATGTATAATATGTTAAGATCATTGTAATGTTTTGAGCAACTAATAAAAAATTTAAAAAAAAAGAAGGATGAGGGAACAATCTGAGTGACAGAAGTGGGCTAAAACTCACTGGGGTAGTAGGTACATCTGTGTACATACAATAAAACCTCACAAAATTGTACTCATAAAATGTATTTATATTCTATTGTATATAAATTATAGCTCATTGAAATAAATAAAAAAGATCTGGTTGATATGAAGTCACTATCTATGTGATGTTAACCAGTGTTCTCATTTTTTCCACATGTGCACATCTTATTTTTATAACAATTGCTTCTATGAGGTACTGCAGTAATTGGGCTTCCATGAAAAAGGCTTATATGTTATCTATACTGCTACTTGACCTATCTCACATGGTTGTTGTGAAACATCAGATGAGAAAGTTTTTTGGCAACTGTAAAGTATTACACAACTATACAGCAGATTTTACATTTAAAAAAAACAGACACAAAATGTTTTCACATCAGTGATTTGAGTCCCTTGTAAACCTGGGTATCCAAAGTCAGTCTTTGCTCAGAAACAAGAAACAATTGCCTATTTAAATGTGAACTTTTAAGTATCCTGGTAGAACCTGCTTCCTATTGTCTCATGAGTTACTGGATATCTCAGTGTAGTAGACTGCACTTTATTATCTAGATTGCACTTTCATTTTTCAAAAGAAAAACTCTAAAGAAATGTTTAACGAAAGGCAGGTGAGTATGGCAAGACATTCACTTTCCTGTGGAAAAAATCAAAACCTAAGAAAACTGTCTTTTACTAAGTAAACACTTTCCAAAATGTTTGCAATAGGAATTTTTCTTCCTCTAAAAGTCAATTAAATTTCTTTCCATTTAATATTACAATTACACATATTTATTGAATGGTTCCTGACGTGAGCTGCATTAAGAGGGTGAATAGGAGTATTAAACCTTAAAAACCACTGTGGTACACAATCATTGCAACTTTTGCCTGTTGTAAAATTTGACAGATTCTCTTTTTTCCTATTACTATTGGACAACTGGGCTTTTTGCTATCCTTCCAATTAAGTGATAGCTGACATTTGGCCTAGTTCTGTTTGCAAGTTTCCACACTGCAATAAGCATGAAGGCATTTTGGAAGACATACAATTATCTTCTTCAAATATAGTTTCACGGCTAAATTTTACCTTGAATCCATGTTTATATCAAATCCGACCATCCTAAAAAGTTATTCTACTAGCAACAGGTACAGCAACCAAAATTTAACAAAGTCTATATATCACAAAATATTTCACTATCGTTTTCAATTTTTAAAGACTCCTTTTCGGTTAATAGTTGCAAGGGTTTGTAAAATTCCACCAATTCTAACGCCAGACTTCACTTGATTTAGTCCTACTTCAGTCTTGTCAGTAGTAACTCTAACCTCTTAGGTTTCACATTTCTCCTTCGATAACATTAAGGTCGCTCAGTCCGCTCCAATTTTAGTTTCCAAGAAACCTGAAAGAACGGCACCTTGCCTACTCGCGCCTCCAGTCCTTTCTATACTCCGAAGGTTGGCCAAACGTGCTGCTCACTCCACAAAGCCAACCGAGCTGGAAGACAGCTGCCAGAGGGCGACTGGTCACGGGGAGGAGGGGAGAAAACTCCTCGGCCCGGAGGACCACGGCTGAGGTCCAATCCAGCCCGCGCCCAACTATCCTCGCGGCCAGGAAGGCGTGTGGACCCAATAGCTCAGGCCGCGGAGCTCAGCCCGAAGGGGGAGAGCCGCGCGTGGCTGCGGGCAAGAAGTAAACAAACCAACCCGAGAAAGGGGGAAGGGGCAACGACTTGGGGTGCGGTAGGGAGGTAGGACCTCCAACACACGCGTACAAGTCAGCAACTGACCCCACCCCACCACAGACCAGGACCCGACTCAGCGCGACGCTGCCGCATCGGCCTGAACACCAAAGGCCCCAACACCCATAGAACCCACAAGCCAACGCTCCGCGCCCCCCACCCCGCAGCCCTACCTGAACGCGCAATCGGAGTCCCGGGCGTCTCGGCCGGGCGCGCCCAGCCCGTTCCTCTTACTGAAAAGCTTCTGGAACAGCGTAGGGGCCATGCTAGCCACCGCCTGGCCCGGGTCGCTCGGCTGGGTGCTTGCTAGGCCCCCGATCCTAGAGCCGCCCCGCCACCCCCATGGGCGCCTCAGTCATATGACAGAAATTAGTCACTTCAAACGGCCACGGCGCGCGGGGCGGGGCGCGAGGCAAGGCCGGCGTTCATTGGCTGGCAGTGAGCCGCATCACGTGGCGGAGCGCGGAACGGGGGGAGGCGGGGGCGGGGGGCGGAGCCGGTTCCGATAGGCTAGCTGGCGGATCCCATCACGCGGCAGCTTAGGGGGCGGGGCGTGCGCTGTGGGGAGAGGACCCCAAGGTGGTTGGAATGCGGGGAGAAAGCGCTTCAAGTTCAGATCCCCGACGAAGTTGTCAGCAACTAGGGCTACGGCGGGAACGCGCAGGATCGATGCCAGTGATTTAGGGACGAAGACGCACCCAAGATATGGGCGCTTAGGGAACCACATTCAACCGACCGTCCCCCGCCCCGACCCTGGTTTTACGACATCACACCTTTATCCGGTGGCCTGCAGAGAAGAGAAGGCGCCGTGACCTAAGCGAACCCAGGACCCTAGGCTCGCCCATAGTCAACCCGGTAGCCATGAGAGATTTAGACTGAGCGGGATTCCGCAGAGCCGGGCTTAGGGGCACTGGTGGAGGACCCTGGCAGGACTGCCGTCCCAGTCATGGCTAACAGGAAAGAAGTCCAGGGACTCTGGCAGCCGCTCTAGTTTCCTTTACAGAGTCTAGAACTCTCACTCCGGAAATTAGCCTCTGAAAAGAGAGAGTGATTGGAGTCTCCGGAGTTAGGCTATGTTTCACTAGTAACCAACAAAATCACAAGGAAAACCAACGGAGGCAAGAAACCTGTAGAAGACATCTATGTATGAATATCTAACCCCTTAGGTTAACTATTTAGAATTTTAGGAGCTTGCAACGCTTGCTCGAAGGGCCTGGGTTTGATCCCCAGCATTGAAAACAACAACAATAACATATTTGGGCAGAGTAGGGAGGAACAGTCAGATTAGAACTTCACAAAATTAAAAGTATATTTTAATGTCTTAATGTCTCGGTGTGGGGAAAGGAGGAACTATAGAACTGAAACAAATGACAGGGGAGAAAATCGCCCCCCCCCCCCCCCACAAAAAAAAAAAAAAAAAAAGGAGGAGTCTTATTAAACCCGGAGAGTTAAAACATCAGGGTTCAAATCGAACTAGTCTTACACATTGTTAGCACCCCATCCATTTACTTACTCCCCGCTTTGGCACAGGAATTTGGTACAGTGGGATGCAATTCCGATGGGATGCAATGTGAATGTCTGGAAATAACTGGTATGTGTTTGGAAGGCTGGATAAACATGCTTTTTCTAAGAATTTCATTTAACCAAGCATATAAACCTAATTTTCTTTAAGCGTCTGATTTGCAGCTAAAATTTAAGCTATAAAAAATGGCCCTAGAGCTGGGGATGTGGCTCAAGTGGTAGCACGCTCGTCTGGCATGCGTGCGGCCCGGGTTCAATCCTCAGCACCACATACCAACAAAGATGTTGTGTCTGCCAATAACTAAAAAAATAAATATGTTTTTTTAAAAAATGGCCCTAACATAAAAAACTAATTGGCAAAATTTATATCTCAACGATGAATTGAGGTACAATGTTAAGATTTTTTTTTTTAAAGCACTAACTATAGATGATTAAGAAGTGAGTGTTGTGTTTTTATTCCACAAACATTAAGTTCTAGGCACTAGGGATCCAAAGTAAATAACAACAACAAAAAAAAAAAAAAAAAAAAAAAAACCTAACTTTCTAGGTGAGGAGACAGTAAGTAAGGTAATTTCAGATAGTGATTAGTGCTGTGAAATTAATAAGAACTACGCAGTGAAATAAGAGCTTGGAAGGCGGGGTTGGTAGCACAAGTCTATAATCCCAGTGGTTAGGGAAGCTAAAGCACAAGGATCACCAAGTTCAAAGCCAGCCTCAGCAACTTAGTGAGACCCTGTTTCAAAATTTAAAAATGAAACAGTCTGGGGATGTGGCTCCAGGAGTTCAATCCTTGCGGGGTAAGGGGAAGGGAAGGTTTTTCTGAGGTAGGGAAGTTAAAATTCATTCAAAGGTCCTCCATAGGTTGCCTAAGTTTCAAGGTAATACAGGCTCAAAATAGCAGAATTACATTGCTTATACATTTCAGATAATCCTCTGGACTCTGATGTCAAACGCTGAAAAAAATTTTAATAAGGTAAAATAAACTACATTTTTTCACAAAATGTTTGAATATGAAATGAAAATTTTATAAACAATAAATAAAGTCCATGAAGTTTTAAAAAACAAAAAATTATACATCCTATCAATGAAGCAATCATTTTGTTTTCACACTAGCACATTCCTCTAAGTGAGTGCAAGTAGAAATAGGTTAAAGCTTTCTTATATAGGGGGCAAAACAATAAGGAATAATGGCTGTCCATTGGCTGGGACAGAGAAGGGTACTTCCAGGTCTCCTTAGAAGGAAGTTTGCAAATACAACAACCTTGTGTACTTTCATCTTGGGAAAAAAACTACTTCATGGGTAATAATTGATATTAATAGTTAGGGAAAGAACATCACTGCTTCCATAAGAGTTACTTTATTTTTTTATATATATATTTATTTTTTTTTTTTAGTTTTCGGCGGAAACAACATCTTTGTTTGTATGTGGTATTGAGGATCGAACCCGGGCCGCACACATGCCAGGCAAGCATGCTACCGCTTGAGCCACATCCCCAGCCCATAAGAATTACTTTAATATTTTCTAATCATGTAATAGTTTCGTTTCTGTAGTCTCAGTCTTGGAAGGTACAGAGAGAAACAAATTCATTTAACATTCATCACATTTTCCCTATATTGCAGAATAATACTAAAACCACAGAATTCGCTGAAATGATACAAAGTTATAATAAAAAACAACTACACTTAAAATTTTATATATTTTCAAGTTCAGTATCAATGTATATTATCTCTTTTTCCCTTCTACTTAGTATATTTCACAAAGAAGCTGAGGTGTCTTGAAGTTTAAGGCATCAGCCAGGAGAAAAAAGTAAGAAAGACAAAAATTGTTGTCTACTCATTAATGTTGTTATATGAATGTGAAACAGTTGAATTACAAATAGACATAAGGCCTGCACTATCACTCAAGAACAGAAGATTTAGTCTTTCCCAATCCCCAACAGCATATGGTCTCTTCCACCTACTTCCAAGATCATCCTCCCGAAAATATAAAAGTTGGATGACTGAACCACATCACCAGCCCTTTTAATTTTTTATATTTTGAGACAGAGTCTCACTAAGTTGCTTAGGGCCTTGCTAAGTTGATGAAGCTAGCCTTGAATTTTCAATCCTGCCTCAGCCTCCCAGGTTGCTGGAATTATAGGTGTGCACCAAGGTACCCAGCAGTCAATGAATTTAAAATAGGACAAAGACATGATCCAATTTATGATTTTACTCTGGCTATTCTGTAGAAAGGAATTATAGCAGATTAAGAATGGAAGCAGAGAAACCAAATTGGTAGTCCCCTGTATCTTAAGGGAGAACTAATAGTGGCTAATGAGTTAGAGATATAATTCTAATTGGAAAGAAAAAACAAATATGATTCCTATGTTTTTGCCTTAAGCAGTTTACGCCATTTCCAGATTTTAAAAAAGAGAGAGAGAGAGAGACTAGGGAAGGGGCTGGGGTTATGGTTCAGTGATAAAAGTATTTGCCTCACATGTATGAAGCAGTAGGTTCGATCCTCTGCACCAATTAAAAATTAATTAAGTAATTAATTAACGGTATGGTGTCATTCTACAACTAAAAATATATTTTAAAAAGGACTAAGGAAAATACAGGTTTAAAAAGGAAATTTTTAATTTTCCATACTGTGCATGAAAAAATTAAATTTGTATTGTCTATTAAATATCTGATGTAGAGATTTCAAGTAGAGTATATGGAGGAAGCCAGAATTGGAAAGAGAAATTTGAGAGGCATCACTCATATATATAATTTAAAATAATGCAATGGATCATTTCCTAAATAGAATATATGTATATAGAAAACAATCAAGGACTACAACTCAAGAGGACAATACTTATAGGACTAGAAGGACCCAAAGCAGAAGAATGAGAGGGCGCAGCAGTATGATTTAAAAAAAAAAATTGACCCTGAAAGGATGAATGGGTTAACCATGTTGAATGCTGCTGAAAATTTAAGTGTTCATTACATTTGTCAATATGGAAATCTTGACAACAGTTTCAATTAAGTGATTAGAGCAAAAGGTATTGTGACCATCTACAACTAAAAAGAAAAAAAGTCTTTAAAAAAATATTAAATGAACTGTAGATAGGGCAAAGGGAAAAGGGGAGGGAGAGGAAGTGAGGGGGAATAGGGGTAGGAAAGTCGGTGGAATGCAATGGTCATCATTACCCTAGGTACATGTGTGAAGACACGAAGGATGTGCCTCTACTTTGCATACAACCAGAGATATGAAAAATTGTGTTCTATATGTGTAATATGAATTGTAATGCATTTTGGTGTCCTATATAATAAATTAAATTTTTTTTAAAAGGCAGAAAGGAAATGGTAATGCAAGCGTAGAAAATGTCTCTGCTGAGTTGAAGTGCAAAGAAGAAATAGGAAAAGGGAAATGTTTTTTTTTTTTGTAAAGATTTTTTTTAGTTGTAGATGGATACAATACTTTTTATTTTATTTAGTTACTTATTTAATGTGGTGCTGAGAATTGAACTCAGTGCCTCACATATGCGGTGATACCAGAGAATTTAAAAAAATATTTATCCTTAAGCTTTAGGTGGATACAATATCTTTATTTTACATTTATGTGGTGCTGAGGATCGAACCCAGTGCCTTGTGCATGCTAGGCAAGCACTCTACCATTGAGCCACAACCCCAGCCCGATACCAGAGAATTTTGTATGCTAATAAAAATCATCTAACAGAGACTGAAAATTAGCTACCTACTATGTTCCAGGTTCTACGAATACAATAATTAATAATACAATAATTAACAAGACAGTCCTTGCCCTTAAGGAACAACAAATCAATAACAAATTATTGCAAATCAATAACAAGTTATTGCAAGTTATTAAAAGTTTATAAAAGAAGGTCTTTTATATAATGGCACACTTCTATGACAAACCCTCTTTTTAAATTATTTTTAAACAGTATGCTTAATGTGTGTGTCTCAGCTGTGCAAGAATCTGGAAATACAATAAAGAAGAGATATAATTTCTGCATCCAAGGAGCTAACAGTCTAGGAAGATAAACAAAACAAGATTTACGCTAGACACGGTGGTGTATGCCTATAATCCCAGCAATCAGGAGGCTGAGGGAGGAGGATCACAGGTTCAAAGCTTTCAGCAATCTAGCAAGGCTCTAAGCAACTTAACAAGACCCTGTCTCAAAATAAAAAATAAAAAGGTTGGGGAAGTGGCTCAGTGGTTAAGATTCCCTGGGTTCAATCCCTGGTACCAAAACAACAACACAGCAAAAACAAACAAAAAAAAAAACAGGATTTGCTAGGCAATTATAAGGCGTTGTAACTATGATGTAGGAAATTTTAGAAATGTCTTGATTGCAAAAACCAAGACTGAAATCAGTTCTCATAACTAGACTTAAAGTAAACGAATAGTTACCTAGGGACTACAACACCAATGGTATCAAAAACT